TGATTTTTTGTTTTTTATAAATACACTATTTGCCTATTGACTTTACCTAAAGAGATTCCCCAGGGGAAAATATGGAGTTCAGATTGAGGAGGAACTAATCTAGATTGAGAACTAAGGAGTTGGGCGATGGCCTGACCTTAAATTGTGTTTGATAAACTAATGCAAACATGTGTGAGAACAGCCTTCCCTCGACCCAGACTGAACTCATAACTCACATTTTGACTCGAGTTCTATAACTTTCTATTTCACCTGAATCTGTTTTAAGTAAATTGAAGAGCCTGAGTTTTTGTTATAAAAGATATTGTATGATTTTAAGCAAAGAGGTATTGAAAATATTAGCTACCATCCATAAGTTTTACACTTTTTTGAGCCTGAATGTAAGGCACTGCAGTCCAAAAATATGTGCTAAAATTATGCTGATATCAAGAAAAAAGTGCAATTTAACTCTAATAACTATATGCACCATTGAGAAATGCATGATCAAAATTATAAAGTTTTACATTAGCTCATACATTCATTCAATAATGTTATATTTCACTTGAATTTCTTCCTTATCAGTGAATGCCATCTATATCTCCTCAGATTTAAATGAGAGAAGATAATTTGTTGTACCCTAACTTACCATGGACTTTAAGTACTCATTGTCATATGCTGCTAGCTGAAAGAAAAAACTAAACATAAAGAGAAATTTCTTCATACCTTGTTCATTTTAAATGCCAACTTTATGATAAAGAAAATGTTCATATAGATATTCATCAGTGTTACCGTAAACATCTACACTTCATGTAGGGTGGTGCTGCTTCATGCTATAGAGACCAGGCACATTTTGCTAGTAACTCTTCTTTCAATATGGATATCCTCAAATATCTTTCGTAATCTTTATATTGTTTGGCCACTAGTCTGTGAGAATGTCAAAAAGTGAGTAAGAGAAGAGAAAATGTTCAAGGTCTTACAACCCGTAGCCTAGGAACTGCCACTTTTTCTTCAGCTAACAAAACACTGACCAGGTCACAGGGCTGAGCTTATCATCCAGAAGTGAAGAGGTACGCCTTCCCGTAACGAGGTATGAATGGGTCACAGGTGCAAGTGGAAAGTCGGGAAGTGGACCCAGCTACACGGTATGGCTCACATAGGTTCAAAACTCTGTTTTTTTATACTCAGGTATTGTTACTGCCATGTTTTTAATTACTATCTTTTAAAGCTTTATCATGAAATCAGGTAGAAATTGAGATACTATCTTTTTCTGTCTCTCCTCATGGTGATCTAAATTTTAATAAAAATTTGAGATTTATTTTGTTCATTTCACCGCATGCTTTTTTTTGTTTTGTTTTGTTTTTGTCTTTTTGAGACAGGGTCTTTCCATGCAGTTCAGGCTGGCCTTGAACTCACTTTGTAGCCCATGCTGGTCTCAAACTCACAATAATTCTCCTGGCTCAGCCTTCCAAGTGCTGGGATTACAGGCATGCACCACCACATCTGGCGCACTGCATGCTTTTGAAGACTGACTCTGTCCTGTGCTGGAAACTTTATATTTTCTATCTTCTAACTCACAGAGAGATATGGCTCTTTCTTTCCTGTTATATCCATGTATATCCATCCATCCTATTTACATGTTCCTGAAATTTTGGTGAAAGTATATCAGTTGATTTTTTATTTTAGAAAAGTATTATATTGTCATTATTTGATTTATCCATTCATTATTATGGATATTATAAGTTTGTTTTCAGAGACAGGAAGGCAAAATACAATGAATATATCTGGGTTTGGAAATTTTGATAGAAAAATCTATACTAATCACTTCAGTAAGAGAATGGATACAGGTTTAGTTTTTGATAGATAAATATAAATTATTGGCAAAATAACCATCAAATATTAACATTACTTTGTTTCAGGAATATTAGTTATTTTTGTTTACTTTTTACTACCTTGACTTTTTAATATTGTTCTTTTTAATGTTCATGTTTTTGATATAATAAAAATAGAATATTTTCTTGAAAATTTAGTAAAACTACATGAACTGCCACATTAACACTTCTGTAAAGTATTTAAGAAAAACATTTCAAAGGAGAAATAACAGCATAGATGGTTTATATTTAAAAATAAAATGTCAAAGATTACTTTGTATATTTTTTTCCAAATTTCTTATTTGGAACACATATTTTTATTATAGTCACCGTAAGAAATTAGTATATAATATACCCTCTGTTTTAAAAATTATGTTGTCTGTGGAAATGTTATTTATAAGGCTCCTACCAATATTCAGTACATGAGTTACTGCATAAAATAGAAAAGAGTTGTAAGTGACATTGTCAAATTTGAGAAAAGTAGCATTTTGCTACAGGAAATTTGTGAGCTAGTGTTGAAATAATATCAAGCTTTGTGATTTTGGGTGTTATATGCATCAGGTAGTCCCCACCAGGAAACCATTAGTCGACTACTAAAACACAGGAAATAGTAAGAAGCAGCGTCATACTGGAGCATCCAACACCCACACCTTGTGGCAGCAGCCTTGAGGATCAAAGTGAAGCATTTGGGGGCAAAAAGCAGGATAATTACTGAAACTGAAACTAGGTGGCGAGGACCGTGGATGACCTCAGAATCTTAACATGTCACAGGTCTGTGGCTGAGGTTTAGGAGAGAGCTCTTGACTCACGCTGTTTACCTCTCAACACACGCTTTTTAAAATAACCCAGATATCTTCACTTGTAATCAGAGAAATGGAGGCTTTGGCCTGTCCTTCTGCCTTTACAATGATAGCTGTGTTAACTAGGGTCACATCCTCTGATCGTATAGTAGTTGCCTTCGATGCTTCCTTCACAAATGGTAAAGGAAACAAGATATGGAGAGAGGGGTGGGAGAAGGAGGGAAGATAGCAACGTGGCTAAGTTGTGCTTGTCCATGTAGCAACTCTCCACAAGGCATGTGATCATTATGCACTACAAACATGTACTAATAAAAATGGAAAAAAATTTCCAAGGAAAAAAAAGAATCACTGGGCCAGTTGTGGACTTCATTGCATTTCTGTCTGAAACCCATATTATTATGCTTATGTAATGCAAAAATAGCAATCATATTCAGGTTACAGAATATCTATTCATGTTAAAGAAATCTATAGTAGGTCATGTGTGACAATGTCAGGATCCTAGAGAGCCTAATGGTGCATTTCCCTTGGAGCTGCTGAAGAAAAGCTGAGCTACATTATTTTATGGCCACATGGATATGTATGAAATGAATAAATTTTAAAGAAAATTTAAATTTTAACAAATTAAGGAAAATGTGAAGTTGAATAAAGACCCTAGACTGATGTACACAGCTATCAAAGTCATGAGCACATAGACCAAGCTTGTCTCAAGCTCAAACTGGACGTAATTTCATTTCAGTTGCCCAAGAAACATTAAAGGTAGACATTGGATAAAATTTATAATAATTTATCATTCCAGAAGATATGTGTACACATCCTGGCCTCAACATTTCGTATAGTGTGAGTTATTTTAATTTAATGTGCTGATCATAATTCAGAATTACTAATCAAATGATCTTGAAACACAGTGACAGATTTTAGCTGAGTTTATTCCTCTTGGAATTTTGCTTCAATTATGTGACCTTTACAATATTATTTAAGAAGTAAACTAGAAAAGCCTAATGAATGCTGAGAAGAAATAACCACAGCAGTAATAGTAAGATAAATTTAGTGGAAAAAAATGAGTCTTAACAGAAAACTATTCCTTGTGTCTTCAGAAATCAAATTGATTTCAGAATGAAAGTTTGGATCAATCAAATGTAAACTCATTGAAAAATTCAAAGTAGGACAATAAAAGAATCACTCCCAGGCAGAGAAGATTAAACTACTACAGGATTCAAGGACTTTCTATGACTGAAAACCAAAGCATGAGATATTGAAATGACAAAGTGTCCCAAAGGAAGATATCACACTACCCATCCTATAGCATTCTGGAGGAGAACCTAGCCTGACTTAGTGAGTTCACCATCAAGTTGTGGCAGATGGAGGCTGAACACACCATGCCTGTCCATTAGATAAATTCTGCTTCTAGTCCAGTATCATTTAAATTGCTAGCAGTGTCAATTCTGAGAAGCCTGGTGAATTTACTTATAATTGAAATATAATATGATGTGAAATAGTACATCAGAGTGTATCAATTTTGTCAAGGTAAATTTTGGTTTGTTTTACACTTGTTTCAATTTTTCCAGGGCATATATGTATGTACCAATGTTGCAGAATTTAAGAGATCAGAGAGACCAGCTGGAAAACAGGAGGACTTTAATTTTAGTTGTACATCGACTCAGTTGGACTCATGTCCAAAAGGCTGAGCCCTGAACAAAAGGAGGACTCAAGTTTTGCACATGTCCCAAGGGGATTGGTCTAGTAGCCTATAACTTGGGGTTGGGCAAGTAGAACAAAGACAAATTTTCAATTTGAACCCAGTGACATTGATTGGGCATCTTAATGAAATCCATAGCAAATTTTGCAAGGAATAGCACTCATTTCTTGAACACCTGGGGGCCAGGTGGGCCACTGTCTTGGTCTGCTTAGAGCACAGGTTAGGCATTTCCCACAAGCAGCTGGAGTCATGGCATTAGACCGTGGCACATAGAAATGACAACCCCGTTACCTCTTTCATGTCATTTTCTCATGAGACCCTTTGTGAAATGGTCTTACAAACCCTAAAGTGGTGACCAGTCTCCCATCAGAGAATTTCTGTCATCTTCCCTTGATATAATTTCCGGATTCCTGGGAAAACTATGTTTTTCATTTGGAAAGTAGTTTGAGGTTTTAGGAAGATGAGGCTCCAGGATGAGGTCATGGCCAGGGCCCCTTTTTTGGGGTGTGGGGCTGCCATACCAGCCCATTTTGTTTTTCTATCTGTCTTTTGGTTTCCTCTGGCTTCTATAGTCCCTTGGCGTCCCCTGCATTGTATAACAACCACAATTTTGGGTGCCCGTACAGCATCTAGGAACTTTAAAATTTTTTTTTAAACTTTATTTTTTCCAAGCAATTAAGAGCTCTCTCTTGCTAAATGTTTGACCTCTTATCAGCAAATTTGTGCCTTTTTCTTGGACACTTCTTATCCAGTCTTCTAAAATAGATTCAATAGGTCTTCAGTTCCTTGATAGCAGTCCTTGCAGTGTGGGGCTGCCAAAAAGGGGTCAACTACATCTTGTACCAGGATGCAGTTGTTCCCTGGTGTGATGAAGGCTTTGAGGTCAGTAACCAGTGCCTGTCTAAATACTGCAGGAGGGTTCTTGAATCACTGGGGAAGCATGGTCCAGGTGAGCTCTCTCTTCATGTCTGAGACAGGATCCTCTCATTGAAATGCAAAGTTGGACCAACTCACTTTCAAGGCAAAAACAGACCAAGGCATCTTTTAAGTCCAAGCAAGTAAACCAGACTGCACTTAGCTGAATGGGTATCATCAGTGTGTATGGATTTGTTATTGTTGAGTGCATAGTTGCAGTGGCTGGATTTACAGCACATAAGTCCTGTGCTGGTCTGTATTTATTAGTTCTTGCTTTACATACAGGCAAGCGTGGGATGTTCCAGGATGACTTGCATCTAGTTAAGATGTTATAGTGTAAGAGACATTTTAAATGCCCTTGTCCCTATCACTGGCGTTTGATTTACAGACAGCCCTGTGGGTTATCTTCAGCCCACATCATGGGAATCTTATGTGCTACTCTATCTCCTCTGTTTCAGGCTTTGTGGACTTACCTGAGTACAGTTTCCATTTCTCTGTTTCTCAGCCTTGGCCTGTGTTAAGCTCTTTTACTACACCCATACAGCCCTCTGCTTCTCTCAAGTTGTCTTAGCCTCAGTCTTTATGGGTGGGGCCAGCTTTCCTCTGTTTGATGCTTGTGTTGTTTCTCCTGCTGTACCCATCTCCACAGCTGCTTAGCCTCTCTTGCACTTGCCACATCTGTTTTCACCTCCTCCACCAGTACACGCAGACCTTGCAGCTAACAATCAGCCTCACCACACTGGTGCTCAGTTGCCTCAAGCTGTAAGCATACCACGTGGATCTCCTCACTGGTACACACACAGCCTGCTGTGCACAGTCATGCCTGCCTCCTGGGTCTGGGTTTGGATCTGAGGCTCAGAACTCTGTTGCACGTGCTTCCTGGATACTGTGTCTCTGTCGCTGGATGTCCATCTCTGCCTCTTCCCACTGTGTCACCTCCTCCTGCATGTGCCATTGTAGTTTTGTGCCTCTCCCTCCACCTGCACCTTGGTCTGGACATGCACTTCTGTCAACTGCTTTGGCCACCTGTCTCTTTCATCTGTCAGCAAGCAAGACTGTATCATCTCCTGCTTCACATGTTTTTGAGCCTCTTTGGCATCCTAAGTCACACGCAGAGTTGCCTCTGTCTTGCCATGCAGCCAATCTATCATACTCCTGTGCTTTTTGCTCTCTATGCAGTCATATTGGGGCAGCTTCTTGGGGAAGCTGTAGCTGCTGAGTGACTCCTGTGTCAACTGCTTCTTCAGGCATTGGGTGAATCCCCTCATCTACAGCCTCAGGAATAAGGATGTGAAAGAGGCTGTCAGGAAAATAATCATGTCTAAGTTGAATTCTCATTCAATGTAATTGAAATGTTTAGGCTTTTTATGACTTAGCTCCATCCATCTTTATGTGTGTCTGTAAATATATGATTATACTTTAAATTAATTAAATATTAACTAATCAGTATTTCTGTGTTTAGAATGCCTTAATTTTTTCTGTTGTAATACAAATATACTCTGATGCACTTTATCTGAGGAGTTTCTGAAACATATGTTTGAACATTTCTCTACTGAACATTATGAAAATCAGAACAAAGAAGAAATCCATATTTGTGACTTGTTATCTAAGTCTTAACACAAGTTGTCCTTAATAAAAATACTATAAATAGAGGCAATAACTGCCTCTGTTTGGTCCATATGCAAGATGAGATAACTCATTCTTTTTTCACTGAGCAAGTTTGATAAAGCATATTACTTAGTTTCCTCTTTAAATTTCACTTCAAGTACAGTGAGGGTTTGGGGTTTATGTTTTAAAAATAGGGTCTTCTAGTAAGCAGATACTGAAAATATTTCTATTCTATATACACATCACTCATTTTTGAGTAACTGTATAGTAAATGAAAAAAAAAAAGATTTTGAAGTAATTCTCATGAGTCTTTGAGGGTCGCAAAGCTTTTTTGAAATTGCGCCATGGGAGACCATCCTTTTCAAACCAGCTTACAAGGTATCTTGGATGGATGAAAATGAAGGACAGGCTGGCCACAGCATTCCCCCAAGGGGCTTGATTTTGTGTGCATTGAGTTAGTTTTCTGGGATAGGATGCCCATATGCTCTAGTCTCTATTTCAGTTTTGAAGGACCTTCATTGTTGACTGAATTCCTAAATGTTTGCTGAAAGGTAAGCCCTAAGTGGTATTATTCATATCTCCCTCAGAGGATCCCTCAGTCCATTCTTTGGGTGCATCTTCTTTTCGGTAGACTTACTCATGTTGGAAGTGATGGGTCATGACTGTGACAATTGCTGGATCCAGAAGTTTTGGTGGTTCTTGATGGCTGTACCGTATTCTTTGAATAATTTATATATTTCATGTTCCTAAATATTCGCACACCTGTGACTGACCTTATCAACTCATGGTTCTAAGTTAATGTATATGAAAGTGGTTCCAGTTTTACTGTTTAAGGGTCTGTAGCCTGCATTAGCTAGAAAGCACTTTTTCTATGCATTTTAATGAAATGTCCAGCCTGATGATCACTATCAATTCCTAAGATCTGTATACTTTCTTTAATATTTTGAAGAGCATAAAAAATAATTAAAACATTAGAAATGATACAGAATTTCAAAAACAAGATGATAGGAACTCAACAATGGTTGTTATTTTGCATATTGTTGTCCTCAAAGTAGTTGTTCAAATTCCCAGATATAAGCATGTAAAATTGGTCAAAAATTAAACATGAACAGGGGCTGGGGATTTAGCTCAGCAGCACAGCACCTGTCTGGGAAGTATAAGGTGATGAGTTTGATTCCTGGTACTGGAAAAAAGCCAAACAAACAAACAAAAATTAAGCATTAAGTGTTCCTTTCAATAAATAATAGAAATTAGTAGTACAGTTATCTTATCTACATATATATACTTCTTTCTTTCATGAACTCATTAATTTCATGAGTACAAAGGCTTACATTTAGAATTTCATTTAAAACCCCTACTTTATCTTACAAAGCATATGAGGACATAGTTTCAAACTCAGTAAAATGATTGATAAATGAGGAAAGTATAGTGCCTTGAATTTGCACCATTGGATGAATTAAATAGACATAACTTTATAGTAGTTCACATGAATTTTTCCCGCCCAAAGCCCCTGGATTTCAACATATTTCATAGGGGATAAAAAGATGGCTAACTGTGAAGTTACTCACCAAAATTCGGATATCAGGAATGTTATTATACTCCTAGGATGCCACACTCATGTGTGTCACATGAAGAAAGGGTTTTTGATGGTTTTATATGAGAGAGTAATTTTATAGCACTGGATGGTTTGGAATTCATAGTTCCTTATGAACAGTGGTTGCTTATTTCTATTTACACAATATGTACTGACAAAAGAATATGCAAGTAATAAAAACAGTATAATGTCTTTAAAATATCTTAAAACACATTTTAATGAAGACTTTTTACATTACTTTTCTGATTTCATAATCTACTAATGTAATAAACAGTGATTAAATAATTATAGAACATAGCTATTAGTAAAATAATTTTATCACACAATTGAAATATACCCTAAATTAAATGTTATGTGATTTCTTGATAAGATATATCTAGAACATGTTAAAATTCAAGATATTACTATAAAACCATAAGCATATTATATATTCATTTCCCACTCCTAAAATTGGGTCCTTATGTTTATTTAGGTATATGTAAAGTATTTAATCTTCCTTTCATTAGGTCTTTTTGAGACAGGGTCTTGCTATGCAGTTCAGGCTGGCCTTGAGCTCACTTTGCAGTCCAGGCTGGTCTCGAACTAGCAAAGATCCTCCTGCCTCAGCCCCACAAATTCTGGGATTATAGGTGTGCTTCACCACACCAGGTTAATCTTCTAAAAAAATGCCACTCCTGTGGTCACATGGCTTCTATGACCTGATTTTTACAGTTCACTACATGCATTTTATCTTTTCATGTAATTGTACTTTCATTAGCATTCTAAGTATTGCACATGTTTAGAGATACTTTTCCATGAAATAATAATATCAAGTTGTACTACTGTTTTTTCATTTCCAGAAAAGAAACCTGCAGACAAATCTGACTTGCGATGATGGGAAGCCAGTGAGTGTCTGAGTAAGAATATCAAGACAGGAGCACTGATAAGTGAAACCCACAGTTAGCCTCATTGTTTAGATCAATCATCTACCAAGTTTCTACGGCTCTGCATTCTCAACCTTTGGGGATCGTGTATTTTCTTTCTTCTTTTTTTTATATGAATGTCATGGTCCTCAGTGTGAGAATCCAGAGCTCTGTGACCTCATTCATCCTGCTGGGGTTCTCAGAATACCCTCACCTCAAGGTACCCCTCTTCCTAGTGTTCCTGGCCATCTACAAGGTCAGTCTGCTGGGGAACCTGGGCATACTTGGGGCATTAGAATCAATCCCAAACTTTACACACCGATGTACTTTTCCCTCAGCCATCTTTCCTTCTTAGATATTTGTTATTCCAGTGTGTTTACACCCAAACTCTTAGAGCTCTTAATTGTGGAAGAAAGGACGATCTCCTTCCAGAGGTGCATGACACAATTTTTCTTCATTTGCACATTTGTGATTACGGAGATGTTTACGCTGGCAGTGATGGCCTATGACCGGTTCGTGGCTGTCTGTAACCCCCTGCTCTACACAGTGGCTATGACTCCTAAGCTCTGTGCTCTCCTGGTAGGAGGGACTTATATGGGGGATGGACTCTGTTCCTTGATACTTGCATATTCTCTTTTGCAATTAACTTACTGCAACTCTAAAGTCATCAATCACTTTGGCTGTGAATATTCTGCCATCATTTCTGTATCACATTCAGACTCCTCCTTCAGCCAGATGGTATGCCTAATAATTTCCACACTGAGTGAGGCTTGCAGCCTCCTGATCATCCTTGCCTCCTTCGTGGTCATAGTGGTGACTATCATCAGGATGCCCTCCAAGGGTGGGCTCCACAAGGCCTTCTCCACCTGCGCCTCCCACCTGACGGCCATCAGCATCTTCCACGGCATCATCCTCCTTCTCTACTGTGTGCCCAGCTCCAAGAGCTCCTGGCTCCTGGTCAAAGTGGCTACTGTGCTTTTTACAGTCATGATCCCCATGCTGAATCCCCTCATCTACAGCCTCAGGAACAAGGATGTGAAAGACACAGTCAGGAGGCTAATCACCTCCAAACTAAGTTTCCATTCACAATAAATTAGATAAAATTTGCTTTTGGTTTTAAAAATCTAATTTTTATGTACATTACTTTTAAAATAAACATGTTTAAGTGAATTAAATATTGAATTTCCAGTCATTTTCAGCATTTGGAATACTTTACTTTTGTCTTTGGTTTTCTTCAGTTATAATTCACCTCACACATTGCGTGGGTGGAGCTTCTGACAGCAATATACTGCAGTGTTTCCGAACTGAGAGGGAAGAAGAAATCTGTACACAGGAGCTCATTTTGTACTCTGTGGCTTCATTTTAAGTTTTGCTTAATGAAAGCACTGTAACGTAGATGACGGTTTCCCTTAGTGAATCCACACTGAGGCCTGCAGATCTCTTTGGACTCAGCAAGTTCTCTCAAGCACGTTGGTTTTCTGTGCTCACAATGCAATTCAAGTACAACGATGACCTTGGGTACACGTTATGAAAATATCATCTGCCTCTTAGCAAAGAATTGGTAAAAATATCAGCAACTTTCAATGTTTCACGTGTTCTGTGACTGGGACTGGGACATGCTACATTTAAGTAAATAGTCTTGAAATGCTGTTGATCGCAAGGAAAAGTTTCAACCCACTTCTAAAAATACCTATATCCATTATTTACTGACACAAAACCATAACTGTTAAATTGTACCTTTGATCATGCAAAATATTTATCTATTTCTTATCTGTGAATAACATCCACTTTTAGTTGCTTAATATATTCAGAAACTAACATTTCCCCCCAAACTCTCACAAATATCTATCATTGAATCATGTTGTTTAGATCTCTAAAATAGACCAGTTCTGCACACCTCTGCTGTCTGAGCCATCACTATAAGATGACTTCTAGCAGTTAATATAAAACTAACCAACTAATTTTCAAAGAGCAGAAACAACAATAAAAATAACAAAATTTGTAAATTACAAATATTATAAACAATTATAGAATAGCTTTTTGGGATAACAAGGTTGAGTTTCAATCCACAAGTGAAAAATACATTCGACAATGGAAGACCTGGGCCTGGCCAGACGGAGCTCAGGCGGCAGCAGCTTCAGACTCGGCCTTGCTGGGCCTCATCCTCCCCAGCCCACGGGGTCGAGGGCAGCGTAATTGGGTGCATGGCAATGCTTATTTGCTGGTGTCTACACTTTAGGACAGTTGTGATTCTTGGGATTAAGAATTGTTTTCTTCAAGCAGGGTTTCCCTCGGCAGTTCAGATTGACCTTGAACTCATTTTGTATTGTTCTTATGCTATTTTGTAAATGGATGTCTGTATGTTAATATGTTTTACTTCTTTTGTTTTTAAAATGAATTTTAAAAAATAAAATAAAATATAATGAAATATGGTTAATAAAGAAACGTTATATTTCTCAAAGAATGCAAGATCAGCATTTAAAAACTGTCCATATTATGACTTAAAATTACATTCTGAATTAGGAAAAAAAATGAATTTCTACAAAACGTCTGATTTTTACCTCAGAGTAAGCACTCCAAGATTCTCTAGGGTTTGATTCCCCAAGGTCATGCACTTAAGTGTTAAGCACACAACACGGTATCTCAATTGGCTTTCTGAGTATGGCACCCATGAGATTTTCTAGGCTGTTCAGGGTTGTCATTTATATTGAGAAGCACGTAATTTTTCTTGCAACATTTTGTAGCATATATTTTGAATAAACTTCCCATTGTCTAATTATAAGCTAAGCAATCTTGTGACCAAGACTACATTTTAAAGAAATAGCTATGAATAATTTTATTTATAAACAAAGAAGCTTTGAATAAAAGAGATTAGAAAGGATGTGTGTTGTCTGGTAAGTTATTAAGTAATTTCTTTTAATTCTGGTATGGAAAATTATGAAACCAGAAATGTATAAGCATTTTTGTAAAGGTATATTTCTGTAAGCTTAGTACGAGTGGTGTCCATCTCATTTACCTGAGTGAAAATATCAAGTATCGAACTCTTGTTTATATCTTTAAGAACCTTGATGTGATTTTATCATTGAATTTCACATGTGTAATTTAAAGTTGTTAATCAATCACCTTGGAGGATATTAAGGTAGCACTGATTTTTCATTGTCGGTTTTTAATTTTCTTGGAGAATATTTTCAAAGTTTAAAACTACAAATAAATGTAATGGAGTTTGTATAACTTTTATTTCAAAGTCATGTGGGTGGAATCAAATCAAAGAGTCAAACTTTGAAGTTGTGGTTAATTATCATAACTTTCAGGAACATTGTTGGTTGGCATTTTAAGATGTGAGTAGTATTTCCACTGCCTAATACTGTGACCACTTCACCTGAGTTATTTAAGCTCTAGTGTCACAATTCTGTATATAACATTCAAGCATTGTTTGCACAGACTGGTGAAGCTGTCTGGTTATAATAAAAGTTTATAACTCTGCATTTCTATCTAACCTGCAAGGATTCCTCAATCAAAGCAGCTTAATAACCCGCATTAAACAGAGCCTCTTGTTCAATCATGGAGAAAAACTGAGGATCCTGAAATTGTGCCAATCTCACTTTGGTGGCATGTATACTGAAATTGTGCCAATCTAATGATTGTAAACCTTTGTTAATGGTGGACTACAGGGAGGACTGATTAGTAAATTACCTAGGTCTGTCCTTGTACAGTTTCTTTACCTGTGAAGCATGCATAGAACTTTGCTTATTTTAGGTTACTAAAACTTGTCACAATTGTAAATGTGTAAAAATCAGAGATTTGTGTTGCTTTATGACTCCAAACATTTTCATTTCCAAAGTTCAGTATTACTTATGCTGTGCTGATATTATTATATTCTCTATAATGCCTCATTACCTGTTAACCAAAATGCAAGAGAAGTTTCCTTTTACTATTGACTATAAGTTCTTTTCATAGATTTTTATTAATGCCCCCCAAAATAGACATATGTATATACAAAATAAACCATGACACCATCTAAAATGATATTATTATATTACATTATGCTTTAAATTTCCCGTGAGTATTTCCACGAGAAGCCACTGGAGGATTTTGTTTTTTGTTTTTTTTTTTTTGTGGTGATTGTAGGAATATCTTTGAAAACTGTCAGTGATGTTAACTAAGTAAGGATAATTTTGAGGTACCGAAATAGAAAATCATATGCAGTGCTGAGTATAGGATAGTTGCAGAAAACTTAACAGTAAAATTTTGGTAAGAATTGGGAGTGAATTCTTGGTGCCATTTATAACTGAATAAATCAACTACAGCTGCTTTCTCATGGCTGACTGAGATATAAGAACTGTACAGGTGGAAACACTCTGATAATATTACTAGTGTGGCATGCTGCATGGTGCTCTCTTAGGCATATTTCCTTTTATAATTAATTAAATTTATTGGTACATTTTAGTATATATAATGATCACATTCATATAGGGAATTTGTATCAGTACATGGTATTTCTTGATTCTTTCTTTTTCCCCATTCCCCTCCTCTCCCTTCAACCCTTCTTCCCTTCCTTATTTACAAAAGCTTTGTTTCCATTTTATCCTTCTTTTCTCATTTTTTCTCTTCCCTTCCTTCCTTTCTCCTTCTTCCCTCACTAGTTCCCTTCCTATTTGATCATTTTCTTCCTCTTGCACAAATTATAAATTTCAGTCCTTATTTATACTTTTAGCTTCTCATACCAGAGAAACAATGAAGTATTTATACATGTGTGTCCAATTTATTTCACTTAAGAGTATGGTCTCACGGTGCATATAATTACCTAGAAATGTCTCAAGTTTATCCTTTTTTATGCCTGTGCATTATATTGTATAAAAAAAATTTATCCATTCATCAGGTGACTGTATTTGGGCTGTTTCTAAGATTCCGTTATTGCAAACTGTGCCGCTATAAACATGGGAGTGCGTACATTACTGTGGTATGATGCTTTTGTTCTTCCAGGAAGATAACAAGAAGGAGAATAGCTGAGTCAAATGGAACTTTAATTCTAGTTTTTTGAGGAAGGCCACACTGATTTCCACAGTGGTTGCATCAGTCTACACCTCCACCATTAGTGGAGAAGAGTTCATTTATCCTCACAACCATGTCAGCATTTGTTATTGGTTAAGTTCTTGATGATAGCCATTCTTTCTGGAGTAAGATGTAATCTCAGCATTATTTTAATTTATATCTCTCAAATTTCCAGTGATATTGAACATTTTTTGTATATTTATTTGTTTTTTGTACTTCTTCATCCTGAGAAGTGTGTGTTCATTTCAGATGCCCATTTTTGGATTTGGTCTTTAAATATGGGGGTATGAGTTTTTTGAGTTCTTTATAAATTCTACCTATTAGTCTTTTGAGGATCATCTGGAAAACTTTTCTTACTCTGGGGTGTCTCTTTACTCTGTTGATAATTTGTTTTGATGTGCAAAAGCTTTTAAATAAGATGAGATCCCAGTTGTTGATTCTTTGTAACATTTCTTGTGTAATTGGGGTTTTGTTCATAAAGTCTTTGCCTACACCTATGTCTTCAAGAGTTCTGCCTATTCTATCTTCCCACAGGTTTGGCATTTCTATTTTAATATTTAGATCTTTGATCCATTAGTTTAGTGCATGGTCAAAGATATGTGTCTAGTTTTAATACTCAGAATGTGGAAAGTCAGTTTTTCCAGCACCATTTATTAAAAAGGCTATCTTTCTTCCAGTAAAAGGCTCGTTTGTCAAATATAAGGTGGCTGAGTATCTCTGGAGTTGTTTCTGTATCTTCCAATCTGTTGCATTGATCCTCAGGTCTGTATTTTTGCCAGTACCATGCTGTTTTTATCACAGTAGCTCAGTGGGATACTTTCAAGTCCATGATTGTGATGTTCCCTGCCCTTCCTTTGCTATTCTAGGTCTCTTCTATTTCCAAATGAATTTTAGGATTGTTTCCTCTACTTCTGTGAGATGTGCTATGGAAATTTTGATTACAATTGCATCAAATCTGTAACAATTTTGAAAGTAGGGCATTTTCATTATGTTGGTTCTTCTGACCGGAGAGCAAAGCATATCTTTTAATTTTCTGATATCTTGTTCAATCTCCTTTTAGTTCTCAATGTAGAGGTCTTTTCTTCCTTTGTTAGATTGATACCTAGGTATTTCATTTTTGTGGGGATGCTACTACTAAAAATATTGTGCCCCTAGTTTCTCTCTCAGTAACTAGTTTATTTGTGTACAGAAATGCTATAGATTTTTGAGTGTTGAATTTGTATCCATGCTACAGAATATGTATAAGACTTTGGTGGACTTTTGAGTGTTTTCTATGTGTAGTTTCATGTTAACTGCCAATAATGATAATTTAAATTCTTCCTTTCCTATTCTTATTCCCTTTATTTCTTTCTCTTGCTTGATTCTTCTGGCTACTGTTTCCAGAACTATATTGAATAAGAGTGGTGATAGTGAACATCCTTGTTTTGTTCTTGATTTTAGAGTAAAAACTTTCAGTTTTTGTCCATTTAGTATGGTGTTGGCTGTTGGTTTGCCATAGATGGTTTTTATCAAGTTGAGATAAAGACCATCTATTCCACTTTTCTGTAGAATTTTTATAATATATGGGTGTTGGACTTTGTCAAATGATTTTTCTGCATCTATGGAGATGATCATGTGATTTTTGTCCTTGGCTCTGTTAATTTGGTGTATTACATTTATTGATTTGTATATGTTGAACCATCCTGCATCCTTGGAATAAATCTTACTTTATCATGGTATATAATCTTCTTGGTGATTTCCTGCATTCTGTTTGCCAGTATATTATGGAGGATGTTTGTGTCTATGTTGACTAGAGATATTGGTTTTTAGTTTTCTTTTTTCATTGGGTCCTTCTCTCATCTTAATATCAGGGTACTGCTTGCTTACAGGAATGAATCTGGGACTGTTGCTTCCTTTTTATTTTCATTAAATTATTTGAAAAGTAGTAATATTAAGTCTTGTCTGCGTTTCTTATAGAATTCAGCAGTGCATCCATCAGGGCCTGGGCTTTTCTTTGTTGGTAAGTTTTTAATTATGATGTATTTCCTTTTGCTATGAAGTAATATGTGTTTTCTCATTAGTCTGTTACCTGTTTTATGCCTTTGTTTTTAAATTTACTTATAGTTTCTCATATAAGAACAAATATGTGATACTTAGGCTGTATGTCTCATATATTTTACTTAATATTATGGTCTTGAAGTTCATTTATTTCCTACATATGACTCACATTTATACTTATTCATAGCATATTTATACTGTAGTTTCATCATAGAAGTCTTTTATTTTCCTTGTTAGATTTTTCCTAAGTATTTAATTTTTCTTCATGACCATAAGAATGGTATTCTTTTCCTAAAATTTTTCTTGGTAAGTTCATGATTGCTACACAGAAATGTTATTGATTTGTGTATGTTGATATAGTCTTGCAAAACTGCTGAGTTTGATTATTAATTATAGGAATCTTTGGTGGAGTATTTTGTCTCCTATATATATAATCATGTCATTTACAAATTATGACAATTTGAGTCCTTACTTTCCCATATTTTCCTTTTATTTTTCTCTTTTATCTGACCTCTCTGAGTAATATTTCACGTGCTATAATAAACAGGCATGGTGATAGTGAGCATTCTTATCTTGTTCTTGATTTTAAGGTAAAGCTCCCAAATTCCCTTTATTAATATAATGTTGGTAATAGGTTTGATATAAATGCCTTTAAATAGGTTGATATTAATATATTTTTCGAGTTTTTTTAATCATAAAGGGCTGTCGGATTTTGTCAAAAGCCTTTTCTGCATCTATTAAGATGATCATTATGTTTTTGTGTTTGCTTCTCTTATGTGGTGTAAATTTATTGATTGATATATGCTGAAATATCCTTGCATCCTGCCAAAAAAAGCTGATTGATCCTAGTGTATAATCTGTTTGTTGATTTGTTGCATTCTGTTTACCCACATCTCCTTGGGGATTTTTCATCTGTGTTCATTAGAGGGGTTGGCTGGTATTTCTCTTTTTTGGTTTGATCCTTGTATGGTTTTGCAGTCGTGGCATTAATAGCTTCCAGGGACGACTTGGAAGTACTCTTTATCCTTCTATTTCATTAAAGATTTGGAAGAGTCTTGTCTTAGATCTTACCTCAAATATTTTTTTTTGTTTTTTGGTCTTTTTGAGACAGGGTCTTGCTATGCATTTCAGGCTGGCCTTGAGCTCACTTTGTAGTCCAGGCTGGTCTCAAACTCCCAAGGATCCTCCTGCCTCAGCCTCCTGAGTGCTGGGATTGCAAGCATGTGTCACCACTCCCGGCTTTACCTCAAATTTTTGTAAAATTTAGTAATGAGTCCATTGGGTCTTAGGCTTTTTTTAGTTGGTAATTTTTTTTCGTATTATGTATTCAATTTTGTGGCCTGTTATAGGATTATTTCAAGCTTTTAAAACTTCTTGTTTCAGTTGTGATAATTCATATATATGTGCTAGTCTATCCATTTATTTTGATTGGAGAAAAGTGTTCGAAGCAGTTATTAATTAGCTTCTGGACTTCACCAGCAGCTATTGTGAGTTCACCTGCTTCTTTTCTCATTGCATGGATATCAGTCTCTTTTGTCTCCTTTCTTTCTTTGGTATGGTTAAGTTCAAGTAAATGCCTGTCTATTTTGTTATCCTTTGAAAAAGTAGCTCTTAACTCATTGATTCTTTGCACTATTCTTAGTCTAACTTTATTGATTTTTTTTTTTTTTTGGTTTTTCTCCGATACCGGGAACCGAACTCATGACCTTGCACTTGCCAGGCAGGCGCTTTTGCCACTGAGCTAAATCCCCAGCCTTAACTTTATTGATTTCTACTAGATCTTCATAATTATCTTCTTGTACCATCTTCAGATTTGGTTTGTTTTCTTTTATTCCAGGACGGATCTTCAGGTGCATCCCTGCGTTATTTATTTTAGGCTACTTTTGCTGATGTAGGCATTCAAAGCTGTAAACTTTCCTCTTAAGATTGCTTTTATTGTGCCCATCGATCCTGATATGTTGTCCTGGCATGATCATTTGATTGTAAGAACTTTCTAATTTCTTCTTTGACTACTTACCTGACTCTTTGATTAATCAAGAATGTATTGAGCCAAGCAAAGAAAAATAAGAATAAAAGCCCCTCCCTCAAAATAAAAACAGTGAAGGGAGAAAAAAGGTTGAAACGTGTCCAGTTTTTTCTGTTTATGAATGAATGTCTTCTTTCCACCATCTGCAGAATTGGAATACACCACATATAGGGGAGGGATACTGAGTCACTACTAAGATGTGTGTGTGTGTGTGTGTGTGTGTGCATGTAGGCATGCCGGATCCTGCCTTGCCTTTCCCAGTTGTCAAGGTTGGTGAATAATTTCTATTTAGACCTCTCATCCATCTTGCAGCTCTAGTTTCTGTCTTCCTCCGGTTTGGGGAGTGACACACACCCTTACTCTGGACGCCCCTCTGTCCATATTCCCCAGGCTTTGGCAATCATCCTGGCCAAGCCATGTTCCCACTGACATTGTTATATGGAGCAAGCAAGTACACCACTCAGTTCTGGGCTGGATGTAGGCAGCAGGGAGGGAGTTCAAGTAGACTGATGGATTTAATGCCAACAATTTCAGACCCAGCCCCACCTGAAATTCACATGTTATTGCCATGATTTCTCGATGCAGAGGGTGATATATCCTCTCATCTTTTCTGACTTAAACTTAAATTTCTCAGGAAGAGCCCATGTTTACCCACACCCTCTTTGTGATTATCTTCTGTAGCCATGCCACCCAGGCAGTGAGGTAGGTTGACACCAGAAACTCTGAAATGTAGTTGTTCTGCAGTTTCTGTAGTTCAGTCTGAAACACGAACTCTTGCCAAAATAACCCCTCATTAAATCATCTGAAATGTGTTAGGCACTGTACTGGGCTTCTTCAACACTAGCATGCCTTAGAGAAGGACGCATTTTTCAGAGTAAAACCTCACACGGTTCTTGCACATTAAGGTAGCTGTGGGTTTCTCTTGGGTCTGTAGGCGTGGCTCATTGTTTCTCCCTGAGGATGCTGACCCTGTTCAGTCATATCTTATGTCAGCAAAGAAACGATCCCTTCCCAAGACCCAGGGTCAGCCTTCCATGCAGTGTCACTCTCTGCTCTGTGCTCCATATCGCTGGCCTCTCCATATTTTCTGCACTGCCAATCAGCTCCCTTCTGAGTCTCAGGGATCAACTGTCTTGCTCTTCACCAAGTTGTTGTTTTCCAAGTCTCCTGTCCCTTTCATTGCTCTTCTTTTCCTTCTCATTTAACTAACTTTAAACTGAAATTGTATGCTCGTTCATGATCAGTCAATCTTTCATGAGAGCCAGAAAAATTGTAAGTGGTAGGTATGTGTACATATGTTTACTTTTTGCGGGATAAATTTATGAGATGAGCACTATGGTTCTTGTTTTAGAGATGAGAAAAATGAGTCACTGGTGGGTACAGAAACACTCTTTGTTCAAATCACTCACAAGTGGACAATGACGCAAGTGAAGGAAAAGAGGACAAAAGAGCAGAATGGATGCGTGTTTGCTGACTCTCCTGAGAGGGCAGTCCCTGGGAGACCGCATTGCCTGATACCAACTCCGCTATATGGAGCTGCTCAAAATGAACCTTCTGACATCCTCCAACAGAAGCCAAAGGTGGGATGAAGGGAAGCAGAAGGCTGGCATTACTTTTGTCCTCTTGGGCTTCTCAGAATACCCAAACCTCCAGGTGCTCCTCTTCTTGGTGTTCCTGACCATCTACATCGTTTCTGTATTGGGAAACCTAGGCATGATTCTGATCATCAGGATGAATTCTAAACTTCACACCCCCATGTATTTTTTCCTCAGCCATTTGTCCTTTACTGACTTTTGTTACTCCTCTGCACTTACACCCAAACTGTTAGAGATTATAATTGTGGAAGACAAAACTGTGCCCTTTAAAGAATGCATGACTCAATTTTTCTTTGGCTGCACCTGTGTGATTACAGAGATATTTATGCTGGCAGTGATGGCCTATGACCGGTTCGTGGCTGTTTGTAATCCCCTGCTCTACACAGTTGTTATGTCTCCTAAGCTCTGTGCTCTCCTGGTGGCTGGAACTTATATGTGGAGCGGTCTTTGTACTTCAATACTTACGTACTGCCTATTGCAGCTTTCCTATTGTGGGTCTAACATCATAGATCACTTTTGCTGTGAGTATTCTGCTGTCCTGTCTGTATCCTGCTCAGATACCTCCTTGAGCCAGCTGATATGCTTTGTTATGACGATATTTAATGAAACATGTAGCCTCCTGATCATCCTTGTCTCCTATGTCTTCATAGTCATCACTGTCATTAAGATTCCTTCTAAGAGTGGACTCCGAAAAGCCTTCTCCACCTGTGCTTCCCACCTGACCACCATCAGCATCTTCCATGGAGTCATTCTACTTTTGTACTGCGTCTTCAATTCCAGAAGTCCTTCCATCCTTGGCAAAGTAGCCACTGTGTTTTTCTCCATTGTGATCCCCATGCTAAATCCCCTTATTTACAGTCTCAGAAATACAGAAGTGAAGGAGACCATCAGGAAATTGATCTGCATAAAAGTTAATTCCCACTCAAAGTAATCACACAGATCCACACATAATCTTCTTTACTTATGTTTGAAAATTTATTTTCATCTAGGACCGTAGAATTTTTCCAATGAATAACAAATGTCCATGCAAAATGTACTGAAAAGACATATGTGTGTATGTTCATTAAACCATGTCGCTATGTTCTAATGATCACCTGTGAATAAGAGAAGGTAAATTCTCTGTATGTCCCTCCAACAACATAGTAAACTACATAGTTGTGAGGTTTTATATGTTACAATGAGAGAACTGAATTTATTTCATAGTATAAATTAGCACATTAAGAAATATTTAACCAAGATCACAAAGTAGGCAAGGTGTAATTACTGCTTTCTGTAGAACTGAAGACTGGACCCTGGGTGTTTCTATGAACTATATCTCTAACTCGTTATTATGTTTTTAATTTGAGAAAATGTCTTACTAAATTCATGTCTCCCAAGCTGAGAACAAACCTATAATCATCCTACCTCACAATCCCGGAGTGTCTATGCCTGGCTTATATTTAAGTCTTGGACTACACTGAGATGGAAAAATGTATAGGCAAATAAACATGTATCTGCTTTTCAAAGTGTACACTGTGGTACAGTTAAATTATTTCTGGCATTATAAATTAAGGTTTTTTCTTCATTTTATCACAAAAAATGATTATTTTATTTTTTTAAAATATGCATTTCTCAAGTTTTCTCATTCGTGACCCTGTGGCTCTGATGTTATTTATTATTTATTGAAAATCTGATTGAACCCATATTAGAGTTATATTCCTTTTAAAAATATCATGCATGATTATCATGTTTTACCAAATTTCTTACAAAATTGTACAATGTAGGACAGGAAGAAGTTAAATTATCATTACTTGCTGATCACCAAGAATCAAGTACTGGGATCTTACCTTACTAAAAAGCATTTGAACAGTGAGAGAAACCACCCAGAGTGAAATGACATCTCACAATGTGGGAAAGAATGTTTCCCAGCTGTTCCTCAGACAAAGGATTGCTATCGAGAACATGTAGAGAACTCAAAAAAATCAGGGCTCCCAAATTTAAAGACTGAATGCAAAAATGAGCGTCTGAGAAGGATGCACACTTCTCAGATGAAGAAATACAAACAGTGAATAAATTTATGAAAATATGTTGAACATGAGTGGTCACTGGTGAATGCAAATTAAAACAACACTGAGATTTCATCTCAACGCAGAAAAATAGCTATTATCAAGAAATTAACCAGTAATAGATGCTGGAGGAGCTCTGGGGAAAAAGGAACCCTGCTCTGCTGTTGGTGGGAGTTTAGACTGTTGCAAATATTTTGGAAATCAAAATTTGATTTCCAAAATATTTGCAACAGTCTAAACTATGGAGATTCCTTAAAAAACTAGGATTAGAGGTCCATTTGACCCAGTTATTCCTTTCCGGGGTATTTTCTCACATATACCATACCACAGCTATACATATGCACCCATATTTATAGCAACACAATTTGTAACAGCTAAATCTTGGAAACAACACAAATACTCATCATTGGAGAAATGGATAATAAAGATGTGGTCTTTTTAAACAATGGACTACTCAACCATAAAGAAGGCTAAACTGGAGACTTTTATAGGTTAATGGTTGCAACTCAAAACCATACTCAGTGAAATAAACCAGACTCACATGTGTAAACATTGCATTGTCCTCCTAGTTTGAGAAGCTGAAAGGGTAAATAAGATCCAAGATGTAAAATGCATATTGTAAAATAGGAAAAAAAACTGTTTAAAAGAAAGAGAAACTGAGATGGAGGAAAAGAGAAAAGAAGGAAGGGAAAAGTAAAATAAATATTATATATATATGATAATTAACATACTTATACTACTAATTTCTCTGAGTTCATTAAAAGCATGGTTTGTGCTAATATTGTTTGGACAATTAAATGCCTATATCTTATACTTTGTGTAACTAATTTAGATGACAATATGAAATGTATTACCCATTGTGATCCTCCTATTATCCTGTTTTGAAATTTTGTTATATTGATATTTATACTCTCCAGAGCTCCTATTTAGGTAGCATCATTACTCCAATGGTATGTAGCAAAAGCAATTTTTTTGCTTTTTGTGGGGTGTTTTGCATATTTAAATATTTATGTATTTGTCATCAGTACATGGTTCCAATTTTAGTATATGTGCTGCCAAAGCGAGCACAGCAGTAAATGATTTCAGTACGTGCTGATTACATTTATCAGTGATTGACTGAAGTAGCTCTGCCAATATCAGTTGAGCCACTTTGACTTTGTGCCAGAGAGAACCTGCATTCTCCAGGCCTGAATGTTTGCCACCTTCCTGAGACCAGTGGTCTGCCAGGGATAGATTCAGAATTCATTCTTTCTTCATCCTACTCAGGTCAGACGGTCTGCAGCTGTCAGGTTTAATCATTTATACCATCAAGGGGCTTCAAATGTCGGGATCATCCTTGTGTTCTGGGTTTTTGTTGTTTTCTCTCACCCTACAATGGCTCTAAGGGTGGACTCGGAACAGCCTTCTTCATCTGTATCTCCCACCTGACTGCTACCTGCTCCTGCGATGGGGTCCTCCTCTTTCTCCACTGTGTGCTCCAATCTGCAAGCTCACGGCTTCTCATCAGACTTGTGGCTCACAACACGCTAGTGCCAGTGCCGAATCTCTTCTCTACAGCACAAGAAATGAACACGTAAGGGAAGTGCCTGGGATGTTTGCCCACATCAAAGTCTTTCTCACTCAGACACCAGCAAACGCTCTCCTGGTCACTGTTATGATTTTCTTCATACCTTGCATTAACAGATTTTACATTTTTCTTTAAATATTGTGATACAATTTATTCCAAAACATAGTAAGATAATCTATATGCATTATAAATATTAAAAGTCACTGAGTTAAAATAACTTCTCTCTCTCCTTCCCTCTCTCCCTCTCTCTCTTTCTTTTTCTCTGTCTCTCCCAATATGACAATAATATAGTCGTGTTTTAAATAATAAACCATCATGTTTCTTTCCACAATGTAAAAAAGACAAAAAATTTTTAACACATTACAAATTATACATAGTTACATTTGGGTCAAGTTGCCTACCCTGGTCTGCTAGAGATGAACTTCATTGTGAAGCCTGTGATATTTATCAAATTTTCATTCTAGCTACAACACATAAGTATAGGTTTCGAGCACATAAATTTAAACTTGGCTGCATTTGAAATATATACACATTGAAACAGCACTTATTTTATATTACATATGACACTTATTGTTCAGTATTTTGTTTAAAGCTATATTTAAGTGATCAGGTATAACCAAGATTACTTTTTGTTACTAAAGAGTGTTATATTAAATGAATATATTAAAGTCTGCTTCTCCATGTTGCTAGCATTGCCTTATATTGTCTACTTTTCTATGTCTATGCAAAAACAGATATGAGCAGTCTTGTTCAGGTCTCCTGCTGATTTCTTAAACTCTGCATTTATTCTAAAACTGCTGAATAACTTGACTGTAGAAGGCAGACTGCCTCTCTCAAAGAGGCATCCTGCAGTTCTTTTTTGTGTGCATATTATTGCTTGCAGAAAGGTTCACGCTGGCAGTGCTGACATGAGACCTCTTCGTGACAGTTTATAACCTGTTCTCCACACAGCTGTCATGTCTTAAAAACTTCAGTCTTTGTTGGTGATTGGGAAAGTTTCTTGGGCTATGCCTTATTTATGAGCTGTTTGTTCTTGAAACTCATAATTCTATGCGACTAAATTTATAACTCTTCAACATGCTGATAGTATTGGTGTTTCCTGCTCTGACCCCCAGATTACCTGGAAGAACATTTTTACCCCTCATGTATTCAGTGCAATAAACAGTCTGATGATTCTTCATACTTTCTCTGTTTTCATTTTTATCACAGTCATCAAAATGCATTCAACAGGAGGAGGCTACAAAACCTTCTGCACAGGAGCCTCCCATGAACTGTCATTACTACTTTCCTTGCGGTTTCCTTTTTCTAAAAAAATAAATGGAACTCTTATTTATAAAACTTCACACTTTTTGGTCCTGTTAGCTGTTAACTTTTATATAATGACCATTCCCATATTTAATTGACTAATTCAGAGCCACAGTAACCAAAAAGTGAAGAAGTTTATGAAGTTAATATGAAATTACATATATAAAATATGCAATAGCTATTAATCATTTATTTTCAGAGCAATTATTCAAAATAAGTTAGTACATAAATCTATAGTAACACTCCAATTTAGAGTCACATATTTGTGCCCACTATTGTTCAATTAAATAAGTTTAAATTATTTGCTCTATTACTAGTGTTGAAATTTTTAATCTATGAAACTAAATCTTCAGATATCATAATAAACACTACTGCTTTTCTTTGTGTACCTAAAAATATTACTGAGGTCAAATTTACTTTATTTGAAGTTTTTTGAAGTTTTCTAAGTTTGAGATTACCTAAAAAATTACAGTTTATATGAGAAAATGTATCTGTAAATATAAAATTAGCATTTTAAAATCTCTTCATTATAATGCACCAAATGTGTAAAACATCTATATTTAATTTCGTTTTTGTTTTTTGGTTTTTTGTTTGTTTGTTTGTTTGTTTGTTTTGGTTTTTTTCTGGTACCGGGAACCGAACTCACAACCTTGCACTTGCCAGGCAGGCGCTTTTGCCTCTGAGCTAAATCCCCAGCCCTATATTTAATTTCATATGGGTGATTTCGGCACTGGAAAATTTGCATGCAAATGAAAACAACAAACACACCTGCCCTACAAATCTCAGAATCTGCTGAGGTTGAGTTATATTTGGTCTTAGAAATGATATTCTTTTACCGAAGTTTTGCACAAAAACTTTTAAATGTTGTAAAATGTGTGCTCACCACCATGGTTTTACTGTTTGTACCGATGTGGTTGTGCATCAGTTTTTTACTATTAATTGCAAATTTTGTTTGAGGTTATTTTCGATTCATCTTCCTTGGTAAAAATAATACAGATCTCAATTATATAGAGT